TTCGCGTAAAGGAGGCACGGCAGTGTCGCTTCGCGCAGCTTAGCGCCGAGACACTACCAGTGTCTCCTGATTACAAGGGGTAATGCTGAGCGGCGAAGGGGGTTGACCCGTCAACATTTATACTTGTTAGCGATAATTGTTCTAGAATGTTCTATCACTTTACTTTTCATTAATTTAAGCGTCTTAGAATTTGAAATTTGAGGGATGGGGTGTTGATAGGGCTCCCTTGGGATCTCTGCCCCTGGGCTGCATCGCTTGCATTTGCGGGCGCACGCTTGCTTGCAACGAACAGCAATCGCTCGTTTTTATAAGTAATTTTATATATAGAGCCTTCGCTCTTTGTTCTCGATCGCAACGGCTTTTACACTATTTCATGCTTTTTCTGGCACTTGCCGATGAAAATGTGCATTTTGCGCTTTCTCATTTATTACTAATTTAGTGTTAAGTGATGTGGTGGTGCAGATTGCGGTGATTGCACTATTGCGTTTTGAATCGGTTGCACTTTGAGTTTCGTGCTTCCAATTCGTGCTTTAACGCGCTATTTGTCTATCCGGTGTTGTACCGTTAAGAAGAGGGATGTCCGATGCGCCCCTTTCCATCATGTTTTTAATTGAAATTCCTAGATCTTGTGCCGATTTTTAGTTTATTATTTAATCATGTGGCGCATGCGCACGGCGTCCGAGATTGCGGCGCTCGAGATCACGGGTTGTTGGCGTGATCGCGTTTCGCGCGTGAGCCGTCTTTTCGCGGCGAGGAGCGTTACTATGGTAACGTTTTGGCGTCGCGTCTCGTAACGTTCGCCGTTCCTAGCAAACAGCGGCGGATGTTACAGCCATATAGACAAAATGAGGTCTACAATTGTATTGCTCCATATAATCCACATGAGTTTCGACTTTCCCCGCGAAGCGACTCTCACTCCCGATTCGCACCTTCCCCCCACCCCCCTGCAAAGAGGCGCACAACTTCAGTAATAAAGGCCGGAACACGGACTTTTGCGTAATGCATAAGGCATAATGCATAACGCATAGCGTAACGTGTAGCAACGCACAAGCTTGTACATAAGCTTTTCTGCGCCTGCGCCGGGACTAAGCCGCTGTATTCCCTGTTTAGCCATGTTGGCCCTGATGTTCTTCTACTAATGGTACCGAACCTTGTCATCGACATCGGTTCGGTACCATTAATGTGGCAG